TATATATATATATGGCTGCTGAAAATTCAGCTTTGCCACCACAGGAATAAATTACATTTTAAAAATATATTATGTTTTAAATTATAATACTTGTAACAGTTATTTTAAATATAATAATAATATTACACAATATTATGATTTACTGTATACTTGATCAAATAAATATGACCTCGGTGAGCATAAAATTATTCTTAAAAAAGACAATAAAAAAGTCTTATGAGTATGTAATATTAAATATCATATTCAGATTTCAAAGTATGGGAAAAAAATAGCAAGCTGTAAATTAGAAGATGGTTTTATCCAAAGCAATTTACCATGTAATTATTACAGCAACAATCATCCTAAGGTTATCTAAATTATTATTTTAAAAATATATATAGATTTTTAGTAGGACCAAACCATTTTTTATTATTATTTTTTTTTTACTTCAACAGAGGTTTTCATTAAATGTATGCAACTTTTCAAAATTAAATTTGAATATACATTTTTCAACCCTAATGGAGTGAGATACTGATAACATTAAATAAATACATAAATAAGCATGTGATGCATGTGTGCATGAAGACAAATTCAGGCACAACCCAGACAGAACTCAAAAGCACATCTTGTGTGAATGACCCCTTATATTGTATCTTTCTGCACTCTGTCGTCTCTGCAGGGAGAAGGAGCGAAATCTTGCCCAGGCAGGACAGCCTGTGATCCTGCCCCAGCGTCCGGACGGCCCTAGATTCACTGGAGGAGGCTTCAGTTTTAAGCAGCACAACAGGATGACACTTCAAGTCCTGGAACAGCAGTCCTGATGGCCGCCAGAACCCTCTGAGGACCCTCTTCACCCATCATCTCCTCTTGATAGACCGTATTTTCTCATATTTTTTCAGCTCTATTGGTGCTGGCCAACTACCCAGTCAGCTGCTGTAAGCCATGCACTAAAGTCAGTTATTTTTGCTTCCTGGAATAAATAAAGTCTTAAGTTTTAGTTTTGTTCTTTACTAAATAATTGCACAAATCCACACACAAACACAGTCTATATTTGCCTCTCTAGTCCTCTGTTGCTCTCTGTTTGTCTGTGGCACTCTCGGATGTAGTGCACTCTTGTTTTCTAGTGTGCAGGTGCTGTTACACTCTGTGTACTTGTCGCCATCTTATTTTTTATTTTTTTAGGAATTTGGGCTTTTTGTGAATTTGTGAGAACGTGCAATGAATTTGATTCTGGTTGGTCTATGAGCCTACATACTGTAATTGTTTCTAAGTCATTTTGGACATAAAAAACCCAGTGAGCTGACTTTGTCAACTGCCTACATAAGCAGCATCCTAACTGAAACGAAATCTCATAAGTGGAACGCTCTACATAAACAGCAGCTCTTTGCATCATATAAATAGTACTCTTGACATAAAGTGCACAATTTGGCTTTAGCATTCTGCAAAGCATATTTAAGGAATAATTGATGACGGGCCGTTGAATTATTAGAAAAATAATCGCGTCGTGACCGGTACACCTCGGGTGTGCATTATTTTTCTAATAATTCAATGGCCCGGAGTCAATCATTCCGCTTATACTACAGTTACCACACCTCAAGACATCGATCAGATGATATATTTAAAGGGATTCGTCCGGTTTTTGTACTTAAATCGCTATTGTGAGTAGGATTATTTCTTCCGCATCTCATCCCACACCTCTTTTGCTAGTTCCAAAACATCATTTTAAAGCTGGTAATGGAGGCTTGAGCCGTTGATAGCATTCTAATGCAGTTATTAATGAAGATCTTAGAAAGAGAGCGAGAGAGACAGAGACACACAGAGAAAGAGAAAGAAAGAGAGAGAGAGAGAGAGAGCTTGTGTGAATTAGGCTACCTCTGTGTGTCCCTCAACAGTGTTCTGCAGCAGCGTCTCTAAACAGCACTGTTATTACCTTGCTAGGGAGAAATGTCATGTGTAGCCTTTAAGTTGCTACACTATATAAGCTAACTGATAAAATCGTCAGGGCAGCGCTGACAACACCTTTTTGTGCAAACTGCGTGACCGTAGTGTGCGTGTGCGAGCACTTGTGATTGCAGTAATTTCTGTGTGCTGTATAGGTACTGTATGCTAATTTATGTTATTACAGTTAACTATGCGAAGTGATATGGAACTGTAATTCGGTCAAGAGAGCTGCCTGGAACTACGTTCGCTGTGCGTTTCCCTGAAAATAATTGCACACCTCAGAAGGTTTGTCAGCCAGTCAGATTCAAGCATTCAACGGCCCTGTAGTATAAAGCAAAATAATCAAATACAATCTGCATAAAAATACATAGCACAAGTATTAGGTAAACAGTATATTTTTATATAATACGACACACAAATACTGGGTAAACAGTACCTTTTTAATAAGACTGAAGTAGTTATAGTAATTTCAATAGAGTTTGTTATTAGCATATTGCTAAGTTAATAAGATGTTCAAGGCCTAAAAATACACAGCACACACATATATCGGGTGTATAGTATATTTGTTATGAGACTGAACTATTTTTATTGAATTGAATAGAGTTTTGCATTTGGCATGTTGCAAAAGTAATGAGATGGTGTTCCAATAAGAATAAATAAAATATTCTAATACGCACAAAATATATAGCATACAGATATTTGGTAATCAGTCTTTTTTTTTTTTTAATTTTATAGAACTGAACTGTTTTTATTGATTTTGATAAATGTTTGCATTTAGCATGTTGTTAAACTAATGACAAGATGTTCTAATAAACATAAGCTAATGAGCTTACAGCAAAACACTATGTATATGTAATGCATAAAAATATACAGCACACATAAATATTGCGTAACAAGTCATTTTTAATAAGACTAAACTTTTTATTGATTTCAATAGAGGTTTGCATTGAACCTGTTGCTTAGCTAATGATAAAATGTTCAAAGCTAACAAGCGTACAGCAAAACACCAACACCCATAAAAATAAACAGCACAAACAAATACTGTTTAAAAGTAATAAAAAATAAGACTCTGAACTATTTTTATAAATTTCAATAGCATTCATTTAACATGTTGCTAAGCTATTAACAATATATTCTAATTAGCATAAAAATACATGCCACAAACAACAGTCCATTTTTAAGATTTATACAATTGAACTTTTTGCTTTAAATAACATTTGGCATTAGCATGTTGCAAAGCTATTGAAAAGACACTCTAATTAGCATAAAAAATATAGAGCATTCACAAATCTTGCATTAATAGATGGTTCTAATTTAGCATATTAGAACTGTTTTAATGATACATTTCAGTATTCATGTTGTCTTCCACACAGCACCCATGGTTTATCCGCCATCTTGGATGATTTTTGTTTTTTTTTAGTTTGTAGCAGAGCATTTTGGGACTGTGGTTTTCAGAGACCTTTCTAGCAACCAATAGGAGGCACTAGATCTCCTGGTGTTTTATGTTCTCGTCTGCATCATGCTCTTATTTTGAAGGCATCTCATTGTTCTATTTTGCTTCCTTGTTTCTGGCCTAGTCTTCTTTATTTCTATCTGTTCCTTGTTTGCCCTCATTAGCATGTGCATATCTACCAAGAGTTTAGCATTAAGAGTTTAGCACCTGCTGGTAAATGCTGTAAAACACTGTTGCATTTTGCTGCCAAAATCATGTTTTGTCATTGATGGACATCCGAAAATAACTCTGCGTTCTGACAAAATTAAATAAAATGCAACATTTAATTATATTAAAGTAGACATTTTACCCGTACCCATATTACAGATCCTTAATGCGTTAAATAGATTTTCCCTGTCGCTATAGTGAAGGCCTTTTAATATTTTTGTGGTGCCATCAGCCAATCAACATTGTGATTTTCCAACACCTCCAAAATAATTAGTAACATGATGTTCCTGGAGTAACTGATGCTGCGTTCAAGTCCTCCTGGGACGTTCGTACTTACGAGTTGACAAGTCGTAATTACGACGTCAGGTGCGTTCAAGTCAGTTTAGTCGGCATGAGATGGCGGTGTACCTTCTTTTAATAAATTACAAGAAAATACAACAGGGTCTGTTAACTCTGCTTATAGAAAATGAAGAGCAAAGAATTCGCATCAGGTGTGTTTTGCGTTTTTATAAAAAATTTTAGACCACAAATGCTAAAATACAGAGATTAAAAAAGCTGTTCGCTAAATGCAACATGCAACATGGCAAATCAAAAGATTTTAGGTACAAAAATGATAGCATTTTTTTAACTTGGATTTCATTAACTAGCTGCGTAACAAGAACATGACCAATTTAAGTTTATAAACTAATCTATCAATTTAAACAAAAATTTACCGTCAATTACAGACATTGCATCCATCGATTCCGCCATGTTTCTCATTGACACGCCCCCAACAAAATTTCAAGTTGCCCACTCGTAATAACGACTTTGTGGTGGCGTTCATGTGCATTCAACTCGTAAATACGATCTATCCGACATGACTTGAACGCACCATGAGTGCCTGTGAACAAAGATGGGAGCATGCAGGCCGTATGCTTCTGAGTTGGCATCCACCAGCTGATGATCTACCATTGAGAAATATAAATGGATAGCGGTGTCCAGGTAATATACTCACACAAGCACCCTAGTGTTTGCCACTGATCTTTGTCTAGTCTTGCACTTAAGTGTTCAAGTATGTGCTTGTATCGTAGGCCCTTTGGTAAATCACTGTGTATTCTTTGGGTTATTCTGGTTCCTTGCTTTGTAGTTTGTTCGTTTCAGACACTTGCACTTGGGTTCTATAGCTTCACTCTGCCTGAGCTTTTGTTACAGAAGGCAACACAATCATGCTGCTTACCTTTTGAACCAGCTTCTTTTTGGAAGTGCACCTTTGATGCCTTAAAAGGCTGCCTACATAGATACCTCACTACATTTAGAAAAAAAGTGCCATTGTTGACAGGTTGCTCAATTTTGTCTCACAGCTTACAGAACTGATGAGTCACTTGAACAGTATGAAATGTCAAGTGTGTCATTTGAGCGTTTCAGGTTTTGATATGTATTACATGACTGGATGATTTAATCATGCCAAGTAGAAGTGTTTTTTAATAACATATAATGTGAGCAAGTTGATGAATAAGTGAATTGGATGTTTCGTGTCTTTCCCCGTTGTCTTAAGATCCAGTCAGTTTAAACATCATAGTTATTGAGTGCGTCAGTCTAAACAGCTGTCTTCAAGCGTATTTTAATCTTTTGATGTATTAGCACTTTTACTGAGGAAAGATTTGAAATTTCTTCCCAGTTGAAGCCGCAATCGTTTTTGAAGTGTTGAAACCTTTTAAAGAGACTGGATGTGCCATAAAATGGTTCCAGCTAGTGCCAAGTTTATATCAAATGTTATGATATTTTGTTAAAGAGCAGCGGCTGCCATCTAAAGTGAGCTCTAGTCCCGTCATCTATCAGTGGCTGATGATTGCAGCATTCATTTCTTTGTGCTTCATTATGCCGATTTTGTCTAGATCTGTTTTGGGTTTTGTGATGCGTATAGAATATCTGGGAGAGAAAGAGACCGTAAAGCCGCTCTGGAGCCCAGGGGAATAAAACTAATGCTCATTATTTATCACCACACAACTGGGGCCAGTGGAACTTGCTTTATGTTCTTTCATGCAACATCGCCATAGAGCATTGTCATGTTAAGACACAGGGACGGTCCCTCTGGAGTCGCCTCAGGTTAAGTGCCTTGATCAAGGGCAGGCTGGCTGAAGAATTGGCCTTTGCTGGCTTTAAATCCTCAGCCTTTAGATATCTAGCCCAGATGTTTAACTACTAAGCTGTACCATAATGAAAAAAACGTTCTAATGGTTATTATTATTATATGGATAAATATGTGATAAATACAGGATTGCAGCTGACAGTCTCTCAAGCACTGAAAGATATTTGCGAGATGTAGAGTTTTTGTCCTA